ACTTACCAGGGCATGTAGGTTGAAGACCCGAGGACAGCCTGCAAACGCAAAGATGTATTATGTAAGTATCTTCAACCCGGAGAAGCTGAACAAAGATTATTTGTTTTCTTTTTGCTTACGATGTGGTAATGCTTCCGTTAACGAAGCCAGCATAGCTGCAAGACGAGACACCGCAGCCACCGCTGGTGGGCTGGGTAGTCACATTACCAAGCATTAGACTGCTATTGGAGCACTGCATACTTGAACATGACGTTCCTAATGAAGCTGGAGTGCAGTACAGACTGCGGGGGAAGAGAAAATGGAGATTACAGTCTGAAACTCACTTCAGTAATACAACTACATTGAACAAAAGACAAGGTAACTTTACTTGAGATCCCCTGGCCCACAGCTACATTCCACACAGTTACCAGCAGTAAGTGCATATGTCCCGTTTGCCACGAGCAATCCATAGTCCGAAGCAAAGTTAGGAAACGTAGACGCGCATGCTAATCAGAGAAACAAATAGCAGGCATCATTAGAAAAATAAACAGAGAGGTACCAAAGCAGGCAAGCAGATCCAATTCAACTATCAGTACTGAACATAGTTAACCATCAGCAAAAAAAAGGGCAGCCTGGTGCACGTAGCTCCTGCTTGCGCAGGGTCCGGGGAAGGGTCCGACCACTTTGGGTCTATAGTACACAGCCTTTCCCTACATTTCTGCAAGAGGCTGTTTCCAGGACTTGAAGGCAACAGCTTTACCGGCCAAGGCTCCCCTTTCATAGTTAACCATCAGCAAAAAGAGGAAAATCAATTGAAGTAAAAGAACCCTTAGATGAATAAAAGTAAAGATCCATCAATTAACATTTATAAGTATGTGTCATCTTATTCCTGTGTTTTTCCTATTAATATTTTTTCTAATTCCTATTATCCAAAGGAAAAGCTAGCATACTGATTGATATGTGCACTCAACATGAGAGCTCATAACAATCATGGTATCCACATCACCTATGTACCTCACCAAACACAGAAAAGTTAATCTTTTACAACCTAGCAGGCTCAAGCATGCTTTATCCCAATCCTGGACCACCGATATGAAAGAGATTAAAATGTATTTATGCATCCAACATTCGTCAAATCCAAACGTTGACGTTCATCAAATGGCCGCTGTCTGTTGGGCCTTGTGGAAATGTTGGAGCAATATGCTAATTCAGTACAAGATTCTGACTCAGCCTAATGAAGCTGCACGCGGACCCGGACTTATCAATCTTTTGCTGCACTGACAAACATAGGAGCTGGAAGATGACTTATGTTTATTTGTAAAAAAGGCTGTCGGCTTATGAGTGAAATAGGCGAGGAAAATAATGCATACAGCTCCACATAGATGAACACCAAAATGAGCATTTGATCTGATCATTCAAAGTAATTGCCAAAAGCCAAAATTCCGAATCTGAATAACCAGAGCACTGCCATCCAACCGCCAACTGTGCAAATGACTGTCGTTTTAGTATCGGTTCCAAAAATACTTTGGTGTTTAATTGTTCACGGTAGTTCCATTCCTCGCTCTATCCTTTTGGGCCTGGGCTGCAACCTGGTAATAATCATAGTATGTTGTATGCAAACAATCTTTAGCTTTCAATATAAAGCCAGGCCCCGTGCCTTTTGTCTAAAAAAGCTTAACATTTCTCATGGCCTAAAGTATCACCAATCTGCCGCTTTACAGCCTTCACAATGGTCTTTTTGTATCTGTTGCAAGTATAAAACGGAGAAGCGAAAAAGTATTCACGGCTATTGGTGAGATTACATCCGCAGATAACATCATAGCACAATTGGTTGGAAAATGATGTGGAATGTGTTGAGGCAGTCGGGTTCAGTGGCAGCGTTAATCGATCCTGCTATTGGGAAAATATTTTACCTGATAATGGAACTGCAAGGATGTCGCCGGGTGCCACGACGGGGCTCCCCATGGCATTCACATTGCTGAGATCCGTGACAGTGGTGGCGTGGCTGGCGGCGATGGATTGCACGGTGTCCCCGACCCGCACGACGTAGGAGAGGTAGACGGCGGGGAGGTTGTTGTCGGTGGAGTTGAGGCAGACGCAGGGGAAGGGGACGACGAGAATCTGGCCGGCGTCGAGCAGCGCGTCGGGGTCCGCCTCGGCGAGCCCGTTGGCGCTGCGGATCTGGTCGGCGGAGGCGAGGCCCGCGAAGACGACGTCGGCGACGGTGGCGAGGGTGTCGGCGGGGCGCGCGGCGTAGCGGACGGAGACGGACTTGCGGACGCCGTCGGCGCAGGCGCAGCGGGTGGGGACGCGGAGGAGGAGCCCCGCGGGGAGGATCCGGTTGGCGGCGCCGGGGGAGGCGAAGTCGAGCGCGTTGGCGGCCAGCAGCGCCGCCGGGTCCGCGCCGAAGAGCGCCGCCACCTCGGAGACCTTCATGTCGGCGTAGAGCGAGTAGCCGAGCAGCGCCGCGCACGAGTCGGCGCTGGAGCAGGGCTCGATCGTGGTCTTCGCCGCCGCGCCGCCGGCCGCCGCGAGGATCACCAGCAGCGCCGCCGCGGCCGCGGCCGCCGGCCTCGACATTGGGGCCCGGCGAGGGGCTTAGGGTTGGGGCCTCGGGGGGGAGGGGGGGAGTGGGGAGCTGAGCTCGAGCTCTCTCTCGGCTTTTGGCTGCACAGTGTGCGGACTGGGAATCGAAATTTTTGGCGAGGAGCCGAGACTGCCGACTAGGCGAGAAGGGTGTGGAGGCTTCAGATGCCACGCAGGTGGCCGGTTGGCCAGCTGTCTATGACATGTGGGTGCCATGTCGGCGGACCCCAACCGTCGGTGGGAGGGAGGTTGTTTTCTGGCAGAATCTGTGTCTTGTGCGTGGAGGAGGGGACCCATATCTCGTGACCAACTCTATTTATGTCGGGTAAATTGAATTTTTTGTCCCCGAAATTTTTAAGTACTTTGATGATTTGCCTTGTTTCCATTGCAATTTATCATTTGCCACAAAGATGGTTGCATTCCTTTTTCTTTTCTTTTTTTTTGCGGGGAGATGGTTACATTCTTTCAGGGTTTAGCAGGAGGAGACGTTTCGTCGACTACAAAAGTGTATGTGACGACTTCGTCAATCTCAAGATATTATGCCGCCACAAGGTGCTAATCCAGCTGCCCGACCTCTGGCCTGCCAAACAATCCTCACCGATTATTGTGTCGCCCGGCTCCCCCTCCCCCATGCATGCTGCTTCTTCGTCGGGATACCCAGGTTTTTTGTTTCATTTCTTTACTGTTTTTTGGTTTTCTTCTCCAATTTTCTCTTTCCTGTTTATTACTTTTTAGTTTTTGAAAAGCTGTTCATAATTTAAAATTTAAAAAACAACACGTTTTCAATTTTGGGGGATTTCAAAAACTGTTTGTATTTTAAAAAATTGTTCACAGATTAAAAAAACATGCTCTCAAAATGTTTCGGCTTTAAAAAGTTGGAATTTCCTATTTTTTTTGTCCTTTTGTGAATTTTTTTAAACACAAGCAAAATTTGAAATTATCAACAATTTTCTGAAATTTCATTTTTTGTGAAAAATCAAACAATGAAAATATGATTTTTTTTAATAAAAATTGTGAACTTTTTTATGACAATGCAAATAGTTTTTGAAACTTTAAAACACTTTTTTAATTGTTTTGATTTTTTTGAATATTTTAACATTTTCCGAAGACTCAAACATTTTTCCAAAATTGCGGATTTTTTTCTTAAACTGCAAACACTTTTAAAATTTGCAAAATAAAATTGAAGAAATAAAAATTATTTTTTTGGGATTTTTTGAATTGTGAATTCCAGATATTTTTCTAGAAAACACGAAAAAATTGTTCCTTCCGATTTTATTTTGAAAAACGATCATATCTAAAAAGATATTGAACATTTTCTAAATTTTTGAAAAAAAGAAACAGAAAAGAAAATAATGAAATAATGAAATAATAAAGAATTAATAAGGAAAAGAAAAAGATGTGCGGTTTGGGGGAATGTGCCAGCCTAATTTACACGACCCTGTGTGTTTTGGCTACTATTTGCCGTAGTGAGCGGCAAATAGGATTTTCCACAGTCCCTACCCTACAACTTTTACACTAGAGAATTCGACTACCGTAGAAAGCAAGAAGGAAATTCATGTTACTTCACTGTAAAAATCATGTTACTTTTTTTAACACAAATCATGTTACTTCTTTATACGGGAAACTAGCGAGAGCATTGTTTATTGTATAGACCGAAAATAAAAGAAAAACATCTACAAGTGTAATTTCTATCTCACACTGAAACTTGTGAAAACAGTGGTACAGCATTAGTTATGTTATTTGCAAACAGAAGAGTCCAGATTTTGTCTCACAAGGACCTGCCATGTCTTATCGTGTGTAGACGAATTACATGATCTCCTGGAGAGGTTGTTCGTCGTATGGATTTCACATGAACAGCCCCCTCGTGGAGTTGTGGTCTCAAATGTCTACTACTCCCTCCGTCCCATAATATAAGAGTGTAGTATCAAAAACGCTCTTGTATTATGGGATGGAGGGAGTACAGGTTAGTATCACCCGCCATTCATACGCTCATTACTCATTAAGTTCTATGTGTACCAGACCAATCAGTCGCATGCCAATGCCATGCCAAAAGCCTCTGATTAATATAGATGCATTCATGCAAAGAAGAGCCAAGCTCTCTGCCTAGCAATGCTGCTCGAGTACAGAGCTTCAGTACCCGAAAACAATGGTGAATTCATCGCAAGAGTAACCGAAGAAAAAGAAAACCTCTTGCAATCCTACCCACAACTTTCTGGTTCTTAGGATCTGCAGGGACCTGAGCAGGGAAAAAATAGAGCTCTCAAGTTCTTCTTCAATCTTCTTTTTTGCAGAGGTCTTGTCACTATCTCATGGATTCATTCTACGGGTTCCAAAAATTATTCACTGCTGATTCGGTTCAGTGACCGCCGGAGGACAGCATGGAGATGTACTAGAATCTGGGAGGACGGCGGGGGCGAGCGATCACTCGCCCTTGGTTAACAATGTGAGTTGGTCAGGTGCTTCAAGCTCGCGACGTCGAACAGCTCCATGAATCTCAGGTCGGTGCTCCTCACTTTCGCAGCGGCGAAGCGCTGGTACTCGTCGAAGACCGAAGACAGGCACCATTTCTGCAACTTCCTCATGCAACCGACGACGCATCCAGTTCGGTGCTGCAGATACAAACGAGAGTATTGCACGGTGAGTAAGTAGAAAGTTATCGACTTGAAGATACCAGCTGAAAAGCGTCAAATGAAAACTGATTAAGCTTACCTTGCCTCTCTTGCAGTGAATAAGTAATGGCTGATTTCTTACATCTGGAAGAAAGAAAACGAAAGGAGTAAGAGAGATGAAATGCTGTGATGGAGGTGACCGATATGGGAAGGATCAATGGAAGATGAAGTACCTAGGACAACTTTAAGCGCCTCCCGGATTTTCTCATCGGGTATCTCGACGAATGGTTCCTGCAGTAACAGAGTTTCAGGCATTGTCAGACCAGGCATCAGATTCTGGACATAAATGGTGGAATTATCAAGACTTTAGAATTAATTACACACACAATGAGCAGTTGTAACATGAAATGTGGTGTATAGAGTTACATATAAATCTATAGCATTGATAAATATTGTACGCTAAATGTACCAAGGTCCAGTAAAGGCTGAACCAGACAAAGAAAAATAGATGACCAATTCCTTGAAATCTTTCTGCTGGTTAGCTAGTGCCCCAGTTTCTTTATTTCAGTGGTTTCAACAAATTAGATCTTATTATATTGGAGAAAAACCCCAACTTGCCATGTCTGTCTATCAAGTGACATGATTTTCTTCATAAAAAGAAGTAGCGTTCAGTATAAGGTCAACTATCCATCATGTATTATTTTTGAAGGTAGGACTACAAACCACATTTGGATGTCCCTGCTGACTAATAATTATAATTGCAAAAAAAGTCTGACAATGACAACGCTAATCTAAGAAACTATGACACACAGACCAATAGGAAGGAACAAACCAGCTTTACAGCAACAGAACAACCGGTTCGTATAAATGACAAATCTACTTAATTATGCATTAGGTCATGGATGACCTGGGAGTTCAGACATAAAAAAAAAGAAATAATTGGGGTAGTTTCTTGTCATTCATAGCATCAGTCAAAAGCAATAAAATATGTTTTTGACACTATAAATATGATTTGTCTTGACCGCTTCACCAGTTCCCAAATAATTAAAACGGACTAGTCACAAAAAAGTACTTTTATTCAAAAAAAAAAGTACTGGATTCAGAATATCTAAAGCAACATTATAATAAAGAAAACTGTAGTCACCCCTTGAAAAAAAATCTGGAAGCTTTGCCCACAACTATATCACAATTGTCATCAATGAACTGAGCAAATAATGGCACCTAAACCTCCACAAGTAAAAGGGTAAAATTCTAGAAAATATTTTTCAGCTACAATATGTGTCCCTTCAAAAATTGTTGTACAATTTAATTCTTAAAGAAGTATGGAACTTCACATACCAACAATCTACTGCAAGTTTTGTTCATAAGTGGCATGAAATTCTTTTAAATTAAGGTAAAATTACATGTAAAACACCATGACATTTGCTATTCAGGAAAACCAGCAAGAACACATGGAGAAGCAGCACCGCATATGCCAACATCAGATGCAAAGCATCAGCGAGGTACATGGTCACATGAAAACAGGGAACTGTACAACAACAAAAATGAAAAAGGTTTCATCTAAAATATGATTTCACATGCTCAGATCTATCATTGCTAGATCCCTGGCACAAACCATATGTGGCGATCTAATCAATCATCCAGCCTAATTTTTTTTTTTGCGGGTATCCAGCCTAAAAATTATATAGGACTGAAACCTAGCATGATAAATCAGCAATCATTTTGCCAGCAGGAAGAATCCAATGTATTGTCCTCCATGCTCAGTTCCATCTACTCGGTGAACAGAGCAATTTACGGATCTCGAAAAACTGTGGCAGATCTAGGCCTCCAGTGTTATCCCCTCTCATCAAGAACAGAACAACACTGGACATGCCCCCGCTATCATTGTGTGCCATACTGACATGCCCTCAATTATTTCCTTTTCTTTCTTACTTGTGAAAAAAATGTTTTTCTGAGGCATAGTGAAAAACTACCACTTGTTCTTTTATCCTCTTCAGTGCGTGAGCTTTTTATACATTTTCGTCCAACTTGACTCGGGCAGCTAGATCAGTCCAATATCAACTTAACGCATGGACCATTGTGGATTAGGTTGCCAAACAGAGCACATAACAACTAGTAGTGCTGCATGCATCAACCAAGAATTTTAATTCACAAAACCGGGCATAGCCTGTTGGGACCATTAAAGCTGCTTAAAACGACCTAAAGAGCAAGAGCATATGGCGTGAATAGGAGTTACAGGCCCCATGAGCTGCTCACACTGAAGCCTCTACAAGAAAATTCCTGTACCAAATAAATTGTGTCCTTCTTGCAAACAAAAAATCAAAAACAAAAAACAAATAGTCCATGAGCTACCTACTTTGCAGAAACAGTGAAAATATCAATCAAACAAGAAAAGGAAAAGAAAAGAAAAACTAAGAAAATAAAATGAAAGGGGATAATGGAGATGCTTTGTGAACTATGCACACTCACTACCAGCCTTGTTATCACAGGAGCAAACCAATTAGAAACCATCGAGAATATTAGGATTTTTTTTGGGTTTAAAATCAGCAGCACAGCTGGGTCGATTAATCAAACCAATGCTGAAAGGGACCACCGCCGATGTGGCGTAAAACTTGAAAAATCCCCAGGCTGGTGGTAGGAGGAAGGAGATAGATGCGCCTATTAGGCAAGTCAGTTGATAACAAATAAAATCCAGCCAGGGACGCATTGGATTCTCCCCCGAGCCACCTAGGCGAGTATTCACTAATCTAGGACGCGTAATAGCGACATGATCAACGGCCTCGGTTCTTGGCAAGCAATTCTCGTATCTCCCGGAAAGTAATCATGATTATCTATCTATAACCTGTGATTCTGCCTTCCCCAAGAATTGCCATCAAGAGAAACACGTAGAAGAGAATTTCATAAAAGCAAAGCCAGATTGTTCGTCTTTTGGTTACCTTGCGGCCCTCGATTCCGAACTGGTGGAGCTTGATTCCGTTCTTCTCGAGGAACTCCGTGTTAATCTCCGGGTACGGCTCCGGGCAGAGGTACCTGAGCGATGATGAGCCGACGGACGTCAGAACACGAGCAGCGCAATAATTGCAGGCATGCGGAGCAGGGAGGGGCGGGGAGGATCCTCACACGATGGAGCGGAGGTTGAGGGACTTGAGGAAGCGGAAGTTGGCGGCGGCCGGGAAGCCGGAGCGGTAGATGCCGTCGTCGACCATGGCGAAGTTGAGCGGCGGCACGAGCGTGGCCTCGTCGTAGCCCCCCGCCCCGGCCGCCGCCAGCAGCGGCGGCAGCGGCGGGGGCATGGGGAAGATCTTGGGGGGCTTCTCGTGCTTCCACAGCTCGAGGCCGCTCATCTCCATGGCCTCCTCCCGCTGCCCCGCCTCCAGGGCCCTCTGCCTGGGCATGATTTCCAGCTTCATGATGGCGCCCGGTCTCGCACGGGGGCAGGGACAGGGGCAGAACCGTAAAATCCCCCACGAGATGGGTGTGCTTTGTGTGCGTGATGGCTTGAGCGGTGTGGGTGTGATGGCCTAACTGGAAGGCAGAGGTTATTTATAGCAGAGGATGGATGAAGGAAGGAAGAGAGGGAAACTCCAAAAGGTTGCAAGAGGGGGAAAAGGTGGGTAATTGGAGGAAGGAAGGGAACTCCAAGAAAAAAGTGTGATGATGATTGATGAGGAGAGGTGAAATTTTTGGGATAAGGAGGTGATTTAATGTGTGTTATGACATCTAGAGTGTCTACTAGCACAATTGGTTCCATTATTCATGTGTGATTGTAGTTCAATTCTGTAAAATTAAATCCCGATGACTTAATCATGAGAAAGGGTGTGTTGGTTCAAGCGATTGTCCCGGATATTTTTAGGGTACGGCTAGCTCTTATCTAGATAAGAAATAACTATGTCTCATCTAATTTCTACTTCGTTGGATTTTACGTGGAGATTCATGATGATTTTTTTCTTTTATTTTTCTGTTTGGTTAATCACATAGTGTAGAAGTTTGATGAGACTTTGTTATTTTTCTCACCTAGATGAGAAGAAGAAAACCCCTTTTAAAAAATACATTATCTGACGCGGGAAAATTATCTGGGGACCAACACAAATGTTGAAATCGTCTTATCGAGGCAACACTATAAGTGTAAATTTGTTTGTCCTTCGTGTGGGCGGAACTCTCATCCTATCCCTTTGATGATCAATAGTAGGGACCATGATAGGCCGATCATTGATGTGAAACGTATGTTATTGCCATTCCAGCTGCGTGTACTACGGGCTTGTCAAGATGTCAACACTTTTCAATGCACATCATTGTCCATCTCTAGCGAAATGTACGTAAGATCCACTTACATGCTGAGTCATGCTATAGATGCGATTAGAGACTGTATAACAAGAAAGAGATGTATGACTTATCATCATTATTACTTCCTCTGTAAACTAATATAAGAGCGTTTAGATCACTACTTTAGTTATCTAAACACTCTTATATTAGTTTACAGAGGGAGTACTATTTTTGCTTTGGTCCGTGCATAGCAATTTTTGTTCCACTTTTCATGATGAAGCCAACATAACATACATATTATACACCTTCAACATTAACGATAAAACCATGCGTTATGTATTGTTGCATCATTATACATTAGCTTGGACACTGTGCTTTCCAGACAAAAAAAAATACGGGCATATTCGCTCAAAACTTGCCATATTTCTCATTCAAATCTGGGTCAGATTTTAGAAATAGTCACATAATAGTTAGAGCTATCGTGTGAAGATAGTGCGATGAAGTGTCGGTGAAATGGTGGATGACGGAGTGCATGGGAAAAGACAAAAATGTCAGAAGACGTGAAGATAAGGTGTTGCGGTAACCTCTCCATGTCTAATGCGTTGATGTAGCCGATAGCATGATGGAGACGTATTTCGTTCTCCCGCTTTGCTAATATCAGTTGCTAGATGTTTATATTAATCTTATTCACCTAAATTTGCTCATCATTAATTGATCCTAAATCGCAATAGAAACATAAGGGTGAAAGTGGTTAGGAAAATTTTCGACCCAAACCGTTTCTGAATATGGTTTTATAGGATATGGTAAGAGAATTTTGATATCCAAATATTATCGAATATGATTCAAACGGACAATGCTCATACCATATCATATTCCATAGGCAAGCTCGGAATAATCATATGTTTGAACTAACAATTTAGAAGAATTGCCAAGGGTTAACAACTGAAAAGATTGTCTACTACACACAGACCATCTTCTGTTCTACCCCTTTGCTAATATCAGTTGCTAGAATGCGCGTCATTAACTAATCCTAAAATTGCAGTACAAAAATAAGTGTGAAAGTGGTTAGGATAATTTCAAACGATTTCGGAATCTGGTCTTACAGGACATGGTAAGAGATTTTGACATTTGAATAATCCGATTCGATTCGGATGGATAATACCATACCATGTTCCATAGGCAAGCTTCGGATACTTAGATGTCTGATCTAAATATTTAGAAGAACTACCAAAGGGTTAACAACTGAGCTCCATAGGCGCAAGATTAAACCCGGGGTGTTCTGTGTTGTGTGCGGACGGGAGGAGACGAATCTACACAGGTTTTGGAGCTGTCCACACTCTGCAAAATTCTGGAAAGTGTTGTACTCGGAATTGGGAGCACAGGCGGCGATCCCGCCGGAGTCAGTAAGCTCCCAGAGTGCGCTGTCTCAATGGCTTCTGTCGTGGTTTGCTGATGCGTCGGACGATGCTCGTGCTATAATGGTGCAGGTTTTATATGCTTTGTGGGTGGCACGGAATAACGCGCGAGACGGGAATAGGATTGAGGAAGCGGCGGACACGGCTGGCATGGTGAGGAGACTCATGGAGGAGTGGCAGAATGTTAATGGCAGAGCAAGCAAAATTCCGCGAGCAACCCCGTTCCAGAAGTGGAGCGTCCCAAAGGAAGGGTGGATCAAGGCGAATGTTGATGGTGCAACTACTAAAGGAGGGGAGCAGTGGCGGAGCCACAGGGTGGACAGGGTGGGCCACGGCCCACCCTGGAATTTTGGGCCGGTCTGCATAGGATAGGATTATTAAGACATGAGCCATGGGGAAAGAAGCCCAGCAAGGCAGAAAGAGCAGCCGGGGGAGAAGAAGGCCGAACGCACAACACGCACATCGCACATGCTCACCGTACCACATGAGGCGGCCGCACAACCCTTGTCTCGCTCGATTCCGATTCGCCGCCTGCTTTCTTGCTTCCCCGTTGCGGCGTCGCCTCGCCGGCCACCAGGAGGAACCGCCCTAACGTCCCCGTGTTGGAAATATGCCCTAGAGGCAATAATAAATTAGTTATTATTATATTATATTTCATTGTTCATGATAATCGTTTATTATCCATGCTAGAATTGTATTGATAGGAAACTCAGATACATGTGTGGATACATAGACAACACCATGTCCCTAGTAAGCCTCTAGTTGACTAGCTCTTTGATCAATAGATGGTTACGGTTTCCTGACCATGGACATTGGATGTCGTTGATAACGGGATCACATCATTAGGAGAATGATGTGATGGACAAGACCCAATCCTAAGCCTAGCACAAGATTGTGTAGTTCGTATGCTAAAGCTTTTCTAATGTCAAGTATCATTTCCTTAGACCATGAGATTGTGCAACTCCCGGATACCGTAGGAGTGCTTTGGGTGTGCCAAACGTCACAACGTAACTGGGTGGCTATAAAGGTGCACTACGGATATCTCTGAAAGTTTCTGTTGGGTTGGCACGAATCGAGACTGGGATTTGTCACTCCGTGTAAACGGAGAGGTATCTCTGGGCCCACTCGGTAGGACATCATCATAATGTGCACAATGTGATCAAGGAGTTGATCACGGGATGATGTGTTACAGAACGAGTAAATAGACTTGCCGGTAACGAGATTGAACAAGGTATCGGGATACCGACGATCGAATCTCGGGCAAGTATCGTACCGATAGACAAAGGGAATTGTATACGGGATTGATTGAATCCTTGACATCGTGGTTCATCCGATGAGATCATCGTGGAGCATGTGGGAGCCAACATAGGTATCCAGATCCCGCTGTTGGTTATTGACCGGAGAGTTGTCTCGGCCATGTCTGCATGACTCCCGAACCCGTAGGGTCTACACACTTAAGGTTCGATGACGCTAGGGTTATAGGGAAAGTATGTACGTGGTTACCGAATGTTGTTCGGAGTCCCGGATGAGATCCCGGATGTCACGAGGAGTTCCGGAATGGTCCGAAGGTAAAGACTGATATATAGGAAGTATGGTTTTGGCCACCGGAAGTGTTCTGGGCATCACCGGTAGTGTACCGGAACCACCGGAGGGGTCCGGGGGTCCACCGGGAGGGGCCACGGGCCCCGGAGGCATACATGGGCCAAGTGTGAGAAGGGACCAGCCCCTAGGTGGGCTGGGGCGCCTCCCCACCAAGGCCCATGCGCCTAGAGAGAAGAGGGGGCAAACCCTAAGGGCTGGGCCCTAAGGCCCATGCCTGGTGCGCCTCCCTCTCCCCCCACTTGGCCGCCACCCCAGATGGGGATTGGGGCTACCGCCACCCCTAGGGTGGAAACCCTAGGTGGGGGCGCAGCCCTCCCTCTCCCCCTATATATAGTGGAGGCAAAGGGGCAGCGCAACACACGAAGTTCTTCCCCTCTCCCTCCTCGTCTCTCGTAGTGCTTGGCGAAGCCCTGCTGGAGTCCCGCGCTCCTCCACCACCACCACACCGTCGTGCTGCTGCTGGACGGAGTCTTCCCAACCTCTCCTTCTCCCCTTGCTGGATCAAGGCGTGGGAGACGTCACCGGGCTGCACGTGTGTTGAACGCGGAGGCGCCGTGGTTCGGCGCTTAGATCGGAATCAACCGCGATCTGAATCGCTACGAGTACGACTCCTTCATCCGCGTTCTTGCAACGCTTCCGCTTAGCGATCTACAAGGGTATGTAGATGCACTCCCCTTCCCCTCGTTGCTAGATTACTCCATAGATTGATCTTGGTGATGCATAGAAAATTTTAAATTTCTGCTACGATCCCCAACAGTGGCATCATGAGCTAGGTCTATGCGTAGTTTCTATGCACGAGTAGAACACAAGTTGTTGTGGGCGTCGATTTTTTTCAATTTACTTGCCGTTACTAGTCTTATCTTGATTCGGCGGCATCGTGGGATGAAGCGGCCCGGACCGACCTTACACGTACGCTTACGTGAGACTGGTTCCACCGACTGACATGTACTAGTTGCATAAGGTGGCTAGCGGGTGTCTGTCTCTCCCACTTTAGTCGGATCGGATTCTTTGAAAAGGGTCCTTATCAAGGGTAAATAGAAATTGGCATATCACGTTGTGGTTTTGGCGTAGGTAAGAAACGTTCTTGCTAGAAACCTATAGCAGCCACGTAAAAACTTGCAACAACAATT